CTCCGGGTAAACACCCAGGAGTGGTAAAGCTAGTACATAATCCAAATCTATTCTTAGTTTCTTGACAAACTTCCATACTAATTTACATAGGACTGGGCCAGTTCACACACACCTCCCCCAGCAACACACAAGACGTCCCCCTTGTGCCCACCCTACCAGTTTGTTGTTATTTTGTTTTCTTAATAACTGCCGCTCTGACTGGGGTGAGATGGACTCTCAGCATGGTTTTCATGTGCGTTTCTCTGATGCCTAGTGAAGCTGACCATGTTTCAGATGTTCACCGGCCATTTGTAATCTTTCCTTTGAGAGCTGTCTGTTCCTGGCATGAGGCCATTTGTTGACCGAGCTGTTGATTTCTAGTTTCTTTGTGTTTTCTAGAAATCGGTCCCCTGTTAGACATCTAACTAGCAAAGATTCGCTCTGATTCTGCAGGCTGGCCTTTGACTTGATCGAGTCTCTGCTTGGCTATGTGGAAGTTTAACTCAGGAGGCTCCGTTTAACACTTGTTGGGATTATTTCCTCAGCCACTGGAGTCCTAGTCAGAAAGCACCTACCTATTCCATATTCTGAAGTATTTTTTTTCACCTTTTAACTTTGACATTTTCAGGGTTTCAGGTCTTAGCTATACCCATTTGGACTAGATTGTTGTGCAGGGCTGCAGGGATCTGATTTGACTCTTCTACACGTGACTTCTACTACAGTACGAGTTCTCCCAGAACCGTATTGAAGAGACTATTTTCTGAGAGCATCTTTGTCAAAGTCACACAACTCTGTTCTATCTCTTCCATTCTACCCCAATGATTATTTAATTTTTGAGGTCTTTCCTTTCCTTGGTTAAGTTTACACTCAGTAACTGTTTTGTTTTGTTTGTTTATTTTAGAGAGTTGTGAGTGGGGGTGTTTCCCTAAACTTTCCCCGAGGGTTTGCCATTGGTATATAAGAAACCTGCCTTCTTTTATTTTTCCTTTCTCCCCCCCCCCCCCACCTCTCTCCCTCTCTCCCTTCCTTCCTTTCTTCCTTCTTCCCTAAGACAGGTCTCACTGAGAAGACCTCGGCTAACCTGGAACTCACAGAGAGTTTCTGCTTTCCGAGTTCAGGTATAAAAAATGCGCACCACCAGAGCAGGTGGAGCTACTGACTTTCGTATGTTAATTTCATATCCTGCCACATAGATGAGGTGTTTGTTCTTATTTATTTGTTCATTCGTTTGTTTGGGTAGAGTCTTTACATTGTCTCTCTCTTTTTAAAAAAATATTTATCTTATTTTATTATGTACAGTGTTCTGCCTGTGTGCATGCCTGCATGACAAAAGAGGACACCAGATCCCATTACAGGTGGTTGTAAGCCACCATGCGGTTGCTGGGAATTGAACTCAGGACCTCTGGAAGTGCAGCCAGTGCTCTTAACCTCTGAGCCAGCCTTTAGATTGTCTCTTATGTATAGAATCGTATCATCGACTAAAAGGAATACTTTGATTTCTTCCTTTCTTAAGTTTGTTTCCTTTCTGTTTTCTTTTCTTGTTTTATTGCTGTAGCTACGCTTTCGAGTCCTGTATAGAGTGGGAGTTGAGAAACTAGGGGACTGGAGCGAGGGCTCAGCAGAAGCACTTGTTGCCGTTTCAAAGACGGCTTTCTGTTGCCAGCACCACATGGTGGTTCACAACTGCCTGTAATCCCAGGGGCTCCAACACGTTCTTCCCGCTTCCTAGGGTGGCTGTGTTCATGCACAGATCCACACACAGACATAGACATAGACACAAGTTTCAAAACTTGAAAAAAGTAAATCTTTTTTCTAAAGGGTAGAGGAAGTGTACATCTTTGTTTTATTCTTGATTTTAGTGAAATACTGGGTTTTCCACCATGGTATTGGCTACAGATTTGCCGTATATAGCAAGAGGGTTGTCGTTTTGTTGAGATACATTTCTCTGCTGCTAGAACCTTCAGAACTTTTCATCATAAAAGGATGTTGGATTTAGTCAAAAGCCTTTTCCAATATTAAGATGATGATATGATGTTATATGTTACATTTATTGATCACATAGAGTATGTTAAACCATTCTTGCATTGCTCTGGAGATATTCTGTGTATGCACAAACATATCTATAGTCTTAAGGAAAATAATATAGATGTCACCATGCATGTACTTATTGTCATTCCATAAATATTTTTCATAAATTGTTTTTTAATTAGTATTTATTAATTGTGCAACCTAATGGGTTTCCTGTGACATTTTTAGATATGGGTAGAAGCATTTTGATCATATCATGTCTTTCTTTCAAATTTAACAATACACATTAGAAATAATTGCACAGGTATAAAGTTGCTGTGTTCTTTCCCATGCCAACTTATGACTGTCCTTAAATACAGTATAATTTATACAGTCAATCTGCCACTATGAATGGTTGAGTTGCTTATATTTTGGGGGACTACAAATACACTGTGTACTACTTCTTCCCAGAACTCAACCAAAACAATATTTTGGTTAAGCATGACACTTTCATGGTGTTAAAGCCAAGAAAAAGAAAGAAAATAAAAAAAGGCACAGACAAAACAAAATTTCTTCCTCCATGTTCTCCCTTGGCCATTTCCTCCCTGCCCATTCCTAAGGGCTGAGAGTAGTCGTCTCATCACTGCGCTCCAGGGTCTCTTTATGCACAGGTAAGCAAATAAGTAAGTAGGTACAAATGCTCTCAAGGAGAAGCCCGTGAAGACAAACAAAACATGCAAAGAAAACATACATTTATTTATTTATTTATTTATTATGCATATGTTGGCTTTTTTAAAATCCAGATTGATTGGTTTGTGTTGTTTTTGATACATGATCTCTCTCTGTCATTCTGTAGCCCAGTGTCTTAGTTACTGTTTCATTGCTGTGGTAAGACACAAAGTAGCTTTTGCAAAAGGAAGCATGGGAAGGTCTTGTTTACAGTTTCAGAGGGTTAGTCAACCATTATCATGGTGGGGAGCAACAGGCATGGTGCAAACAATAGTTGAGAGCTTTACATCCTGATCTACTGGTGGGAGGAAAGGGAGAGGCTGAGCCTGAGGTGGGCTTTTGAAACCTCAAAGTGCACCCCCAGTGGCATGCCTTGAGCAGCTCCTCCAACAAGGCCACACCTCTTAACACTTCCCAAGCAATTCCACTAACTGGGACCAAGCATTCAAACATATCAGCTTTTAGGTGGTTATGCTTATTCAAACCTCAACACCTGGGCTGGCCTCAAACTTGTGATTCTCTTGCGTCTGCCTTTGAAGTGTCAGGATTACAGGTGTCTATTACAACATCAGTGCGAGATCATTTTAAAAGCTGGACATAGATGTGCGAGCAGTAAGTGCATCAAGTGACCCAGGCAGGGTGAACGCTAGACTTGTGTCTGAGAACTACATTAGAATTCTTTACCTTCCTCCATCCCCAGATGCTAGGCAGTTCAGGTACTAAGTATTGAGGAATATGGATGAGGGTTATAGCTAGAACAAGATGAATTGAAAGTTACCCCAGGAAACAATGAGACGCGGGAACTGCCCTCCTCTAGCTGGTGCCTGGTTGTGAACTGTGCCTCCCATGCAGGCTCCAAGGATTAGAAGTTTGTCTTGCAGCGGAAGAGCAAGAAATAAGGAAACAAGGCACACCTATATGAAGACAAGACCCTGAAAACACTGGGAGGATGTGACACAAAAATTTCCCAGAGACCCATCTTAGTGGCTTTCCTATTGCAACTTAGAAAAGAAAGCATTCAGGACTTATGGTTTCAGAGGGTGAGTCTGTGGCCATCATGGTTGGGAACCTGGCAGCAGGCAGGCAGCCATTGTGCTACAAAAGGAACTTGAAACACAAATATTGAGACAGAGACAATCTGAATAGTGTGATTGAAGCCTCAAAGTATGCTCTCAGTGACACGCCTCCAAGAAGGCCACACCTTCTAATCCTTAACAAGCGGTTCCACCAAATGCGAGTTAAGTATTCAGATTATGAGTCTATTGGGGGCATTCCCATTCAAGCCACCACAGACCCTGACTGGAGACCCTGCCTTCTCTCTTCTTCCCTACAACTATGTAGGCCATCCTGATGGCCATCCTGCAGTTAGCCAAGCTTTCTTGGGGACTCTTACAGAAAACCATTCCCCAGAGGCAATTTAGAAACAGTGGCACCTTTATCAAAGAAAACCAAGTTAATGGTGTCCTCAGAGCCTAAGCTTAGAGAGATATTACGTATACACAAAATAAAAACAGAAAGCTTGTTAAGGTTTCTTCTAATGAACTTTCAGAGAGCAGCGAAAGCAAGATTTTTGAATTGAAAACATGGCGGCAGAAACGAAACAACACACTTGGAGAAAAAACAAGGCAAACAGATCAGAGAGGGACGTGATTCACTTTGGAGATGACCTCAGAGCAAAGCTGTCAGGGGTTGAAGCGAGGCAAGGAGGCCAGCATATCTGAAAAGGGCTGGGACTGTCTTCAGGCTTTGGCTGCCCTGGAAACTCTCTGGTGAGGACTATGGAGAAAACACGCCTCGGGTTTTGGAGGATGGATCAGTATTGTGTAAGAATGAGGATCTCCGTGAAGGTCACCAGAGTCCATGTATAAAGCCGTATATAAAGCCGTATATACAAAGCCATGTATAAAGTCCATGTAAAAACCATTGCTGTGGTTGCAATGTCTCCAGGCCCAGTACTGGGGTGCAGCGGTGGGGGGGGGGAATGGGAGGAGAGGGAGGGACTTGCAGCCAGTCGGTCTAGCTGCAACAAGAAGCTCCAGATTCAGTGAGAGCTCTTGTCTCCAAAAGATGAAGTGGAGCGTATCAGGGGAAGACACCTGACCTCCAACTGTGGTCTCCACAAATGCACACAGGGTTAAGTGCATTGTTACCAGCAGTGGCGCTGCTCCATTTCCTGCAACACACACACACACACACACACATACATACACACACACACACACACACACACACACACACACACACACACACACACACACAGAGTACTCCAGAGTTATCACCTTCAGGGCTGAGGAGGGTATTTATTTTATCTCTGTTTGGTCATTAGATAAGGGCTGCTCTGTGGAAGAGGACGTTCATTTTGCAACGCTTCCTCAATGAACTTTCAGTGGCTAGGAGAAAAGGACCAGGCTAAAAGACAAGGGCCAGGAGTTTAGAAGACACTGGTATGGCAACTGCCAAGTGAACGAGGGCAGAGCGTGCCGCGCAATGCCTCCTGGTAGGGTCTATCTCCTCTTCTTTCTCTCCAAGGAACTTACCGAAGGACACGTGTCACCAAAACAATGGAGTAAATCAAGAAAGAGGAAGAGGTGAGAAAGAATCAGGATACTCAGCAGAGTGAAGGAAATCCCCGGGATGAGGTAAAGAGATAACCCAGCTTGACAGCGTGCCAGTAGGCCTGAGCATCCATGAGTCTGGCAGGAGGCATCCTGGAAGGTTCGAGATCAAGGGCACCTCTTTCCAAATGGTAGAATACCGAACTGTCGAAACAGCCAGGGGAACGTATGGGTTGTCAGTGGCGTAAACACACACACGTGGGGCGTATGAGAACCGATGCCAAAGAGAGCGAAACATTGCTGAGGAGAGGCGATGTGATCAGGATAGATTCATAACATAGGTTGGAACAGTCACGATTTTGCCCTGGGGAGGTAAATAATGAGATTTAGGCTAAAATGATTAGGCATGTAAGACAGGAAACACATGTGTCATGGATTATGGGCAGCGGTGGAAGTTAAATCCCCACCTTCTACAGCGAAAGTGAATAGGGAGGATCAAGAAGTAGCTATTTAGAGGTATGCTAATTACAAAAAGCAGAGTCAGATTGATAAAGCATTCAAAGAGCCGAAGAGCACTCCTCTGCGGGCTGAGAATCGTTCTGGGAGGGGGTATTTTCGGGGAGAATATGTACTATAGAACAACTATTTGTTTTTTTTTAAACTGTACACATGCTAAACTTTGATATAAATTACCTGTCTATCTGTCCTCTTCATGAAAACAGGAAGTGGTGGGAGAGAAAATGTGCTCTGTTCCCAGTTAGTAAGGAAAGCGGGTGAATAGATGAAACTCTCTTGTTCCGTTCTTCCTACAGCCTCGCAAGCGGTGTCTTCCTGTCTCTGTTAGGGCCGAAGGAAATGTGTGAGCAACTGGGAAATTTGGACTTGAAGATCTTTAAAAGACCTGTTAACACAAAACTGACCTGGAACCAGGGCTTGCAGATTTGATTTACAGTTGTTATTTTAAAATCACATGGAAATATCTTACAGCCTGGAAACTAACCATGTGTGCGACTGAGATTGCATCATTTGGAGGCAGTAGAAATCAACACTTCCTCTTCACGTTTATTTACTCATTTGTGTGTGGTGGGGGAGCATGCAGAGGTAGGAGGAGAGCTTATAGAAGATTCCCCTCTCCCTCCACCAAGCTCATCCCATGATGGACGGCAGGCTATTAGGCTTCATAGGGAGCTCCTTTGCCTGCTGGCCCTGCTTCCCCCTGCCACCTTCTGCTTGCAGGCAAAGTAGTCCTGCGAAAGAAGCTTCTGGAAGGCAGATTAGCTATCCTTTCTCTTATTTCCCCTTTCTAATCACCAGATTCTCTTCACCTTGCAGCAACGCTCACAATTTCCAATTTAAGACAAAATTCAAGAAGCAATTTTAGCGGCACCTCCTCTTGTTCTTTGGTTTCACAACGCAGCGGTCCCAGCTTCCGTCTCTTCCTTCTGCTCCCTGAACACCACTTCTGAGAGTCCTGTGCCTGGCTTTCCCTCTGGCTGGGGCCTGAGTCACTGATGTCTCAGAGGTGGCAAAGGACTTGGTGGCCCAGAGGCAGACACTTGTTAACACCAGCACTGAGGGGGCTGAGGAGGAAGGTTATGAGTTCTCTACCAGCTTGGGAGAAACATAGAAGGGTGTGGGGGCAGACATCTTGCTAAATGACTGAAATCTGCTAAGTCTCCATCCTTGTCCGCTTTCCTCAGCCTCTCTTCTTCCCCCATGGCTGGTTGCCTGGCACCTGTCTTCTATGTCACTTCCTGTCTTCTTTATTGGCTGACCCTTCTCTCTCTCTCTCTCTCTCTCTCTCTCTCTCTCTCTCTCTTTTCTTTTTGAGACAGGGTTTCTCTGTGTAGCCCTGGCTGTCCTGGAACTTGCTCTGTAAACCAGGCTGGCCTCGAACTCATAGATGTCTGTCTACCTCTGACTCCTGAGTGCTGGGGATCAAAGGCATGTGTCACCACTACCCAACCGCTTCTCACTCTTAAAGAACAGGTGTCCCCTGGGTCCCTGAGGGCCCCATCTGCTTGTGTCTCCAGCATCATGCAACGTTCCCCTCGCTCACACTCTCTAGTGACACTGGCGTTTCAGTTCCTGCAATACACTGGGCTCTCCATTGCCTTAGGACCTGTTCCCTTTACCTGGGTCACTTCCCCTGCCACCCCCACACCACCGCAACTAAAGCCCTCCATCTGCCTGTCCCCTCCCACCCCAATTCAACTTTCAGGACTCAGCTTCACGTCACTCCCCCAGAGTGGCTCTCACTAAGTACCCTTTCTGTCCCTGTCCCCTCTTTTCGCCTTTTCTATGTTAGAAACGTTTTCTTTATACAGGTTAAAATGATAACATTTCATTGTATGGGCTTATTTTTGTTACGTAAATACCTATCTTTCTCTTCAAAGTATGCACTCCACGAGGACAGGGCCCCTGCTAGTTGTATCTAATGTCATACAGGCAACATCTAACAACCCAGGAGACAAGAGGTAAAAGATATGTCTTGAAGAATCAAAATGCAAAGCGCCTTTTTCATGCAGTGGAATTTCATGAACTGCACTTGATGTAGCTCATCCAGTGACTTACATACAGGTAACTTCTGCACAAGGAAGCGGAATCACAGAGACTAATATGCCCAGGGTCTCACAGAAAAGCGAGGTTGAGTGTCTACCAAGCCTTGAAAGGCCACTGTGGACTCTTAACTACTCATCACTGACCGACACGAGTCATCTGGAAAGGCTACGTACTGAGTGGTTCCAGCGCCATGGCCTCTGAAAACACCAAAACTGTGGAGATTATGAAGGGACCAGGGATGGCTGAGGGTTGGCTCTCTGGGATGCCCCTCACAGTCTCCTGTTTTGTGCTTGGACCCAGCTTGGGGCCCTGTTTCATGAGCTGCTGGCGCAGGCCCCTGACTGCTGGAAGTTAGGTCCTCAGAGACAGCCCTTTACAGCTTATACCTGGCGCTGGGGAGGTGACTCGGTCGTGCAAGCATGAGGACCTGAGTCGGGGTCCCCAGCACCCACGTAAACAGAAGAGTCAGGATCCCCAGCATCTACATAAACAGAAGAGTCGGGATCCCCAGCACCCACTAGATAGAAACAGTGGTTGAGTGGAGACAGCCCATCCCTGGTGCTCATTGGTCAGTCAGTCCACCTGAATTAATGAGCTTCAGGTTCAGAGAGAGACCTCTATATCCAAAAGTAAGGTGGAGAGTGATCGAGGAAGACACCCAATGTCCTACACACACACACACACACACACACACACACACCTGCGTGCATAGGGGCACACACATGGACACGTATGTCACACTCACACACACCTTTGGTTCCATCCCTGCTCTCTGCTTCCCAGACTACCTGAGACTCTGCCTCTGCCTCTCACCCCCTCCCTCCGAGGCCACCAATGCCACCGACAGAGCTGGTCCCGCTGCTGTGCACTTCTCACTGTGAGGGATGATAATCCTCTGAAACCACTAGGCAAAGGAAATCTTCCTTCCGCGGACTTGCTTTTACCAGCTATTACGGCCACTGGATTGCAAAGGAAATCAAGACAGTGGGGCCCAGGGGATCAGGTTGAAGGGGCAGGAACAGGAAAAGCATGGACGATTTTTAGAGGTGTAAAATCACTCTAGGACTCTCACATTGGTCACGTGTCATTAGACATCTGTCCAGTTCCACATACTGTACACCACGAAGAGCTAAGGCCCACTCTGGGCTTGGGTGGTGTGGGGTGTCAGCGGGGGGTTTTACTTACAGATGAACCTCTCTACCTCTCTGCTAGGGGATGTTGATAGGGAAGGAGGTAAGGGTCATATGGGGAACCTCTATGCTTTCTGATAATTTTTTTTTAAAATCCCTCTAAAAGAGAGGCTTCTTCCAGCAACTGATAGAAACAGACGCAGAGACTGATACACAAACATTAGGTGGGGCACAGGAAACCCCCAAAAGGAGGGGCAGGAGGATTGTAGGAACCAGAGGGGTCGAGGGCACCAGGAGAACATGTCCTGCAGAATCAGCTAAGCAGGGCTCATAGGGGCTCACAGAGACTGGAGAGGAAATCAGAGCCTGCATGGGGCTGCGCTCGGTCCTCTGCATACATGCTGTGGTTAAATGTTTACCTGCGGGTTTCGTTGGACTCCTAACAGTAGGAGTGGGGTATCTCCGACTCTATTGCCTGTTCTTGGAGACCTTTTTCTTCCTACTGGGTTGCCTTGTCCAGCCTGGATATGAAGGTTTGCGCCTAGTCTTACTGCATCTTGTTATGCTGTGTTCGGTTGATACCCCGGAAGGCCTGCTCTTTTCTGAAGGGAAATGGAGGAACAGTGGATCTGGGGGAGAGGGGTGGAGAGGGCTGGGAAGAGAGGAGGCTCGAGTTGGGATGTATTATATGAGAGAGAAAAGATAATTTCAATCCACTCAGAAAAATGAAATATTTATTAAAAAAAAAGGCTCAGAGCTAGGTTTTGAAAATGTATTTGCCTCTTTCCCTTTCCTTTTCTTTCTTTTTTTTCTTTTTCTTGACAGAACCTCCCTTGACTGCTCTGGAACTCACTATGTAGACTAGGCTGACTTCAAATTCACAGGAACCCGCTTGCCTCTGCCTCCCTGAATGCTGATACTAAAGGTGGGTGCCACCTTGCCCAGCATATGACTCTCACTATGGGATACAGAGCTTCTCGGTAAATGAATTCAGCACACTCACCTTCCCAAGTGTGAGTGGTCCCACGTTTCCTTTGTAGTTTCCGTGGTTTCTCTGCAGCTCCTTCTAGCATTCATCCCAAGCTTGATAACGGCATTGTGGCTGAGTATCTGGAGTCACGGTGAAGACTGGACAGTTCCACAGCTTCCCCTCTGCCGGGTTTCTAAGGAGCCCTTTCGTGTGAAGGAAGAGAAGCATGCTCTAGTGTCTGTGTGTGTGTGTGAGTGCGTGAGTGTGTGTGTGAGTGAGAGAGAGAATGTTTGTGTGTGTGAGAGTGTGTGTGAATGTGTGTGAGTGTGTGTGAGTGAGTGTGTGTGTGAGTGAATGTGTGTGTGTGAATGTGTGTGAGTATGTGAGAGTGTGTGAGTGTGTGTGAGAGTGTGAGTGCGTGTGAATGTATGTGTGTGTGAGTGTGTGTGTGAGTGTGAGTGTGAATGTGTGTGTGAATGTGTGTGAGTGTGTGTGTATGTGTGTGAATGTGTGTGTGTGAGTGTGTGTGAGTGAGAGAGAGTGTGTGTGAGTGTGTGTGTGTGTGTGTTACTCTCTCTCTCAGCTCTGACAGCTTCCCTACCCTCTCTGTTTTCCTCATTTCCTCCCCTTCCCACCAAGCCTGTGGGCAGCCCCCCCTCCCCATCATGCTGCTTTTTACTCGGGCCTTCTCTTCTTCTCCTCATATGCATAGTTTAGTTTGTTTCCCCAACAAAAACGCTCCTACACATCCTAGAAAATGTTCCCAACAGATTTGTAAGCAAAAAGCAGAAAGATGCAATGTAGAATAGAGTTGCTCTGTGCCTTCCTCACCACCCAGTTCCTCATGCCTTATAACATTACTGCACTGGGAAACACAGTGAAGGAGAGTGGGCGCCCAACCCATTATTACTATCGTCTTCCAGTAAGGCGGCCCTGTGGAGACTCTCACACATACGCATAAGGAGGAGGCCGTGAGGATGGAGGCAGAGAGCAAGGCGACGCAGCAGAGATCAGGAACACCAAAGGTCCCAAAGAGCTCCGCCATACCTTGATCTTAGAGTGCAAGCCTCAACCTCGAGACGGTAAATTTCTTTGTCTCACTGGAGTGTGAGGCCTCACTGAGGAAGCTCTAGGGAACTAACAGAAAGGATAAGATTCCAATTGAAAGAAGTAAAGGAACCTCACATTATGGGGGGGGGGACAGGGGAGAGAAAAGAAAGGGAGAGAGAGACAGGGAGAGAAAGAAGAAGAGAGAGGGAGGGAGAGAGACAGAGGGTGAGGGACAGGGAGAGAGAGAGAGAGAGACAGGAAGAGAGAGAGGGAGAGAGAAAGGTAACGAACATGGAGCTAACATATTGGCCCAGTGCTTATAAGTTTGTGCAAGGCCATGTGTTCTGACCCCAGCAGAAAACAAAGGAACAAACCCCCCTCCCTCCCCGTTGAAGGGGAGGGGAGATTCAGGGAGGGGAGCAGAGAAAAATGTAGAGCTCAATAAAAATCAATAAAAGACCCCTCCCCCAACCACCACAAACAAAAACAAAACAAAAGATTAATGATGCTTTTAAAATTATTATTTATTTATTTTTGAGATCAAGTTTTACACTGTAGCCCAAGCTAACCTAGAACATATTATATAACCCTAGCTGACCTCAAACTTGTATTGATCATCCTGCCTCCGCCTTCCAAGTGCTGGGATTAGGTGAAGGAGCTGCCATCCATGGCTTAGCAGTTAGTCCTTTGGGGAAAGTGGTAACAAGCAGTTCTACCTTATTCTTTGCTTGGCACGTTGGGTTTATCTCATTCTATCACACCTGTATGAGTGTACTATTTTATACACAACACTCCTCGGTTTCCTTACCTGTCGTTGAAGAACAGCAGGGCCCGTCTCCCTGTCTCCCAGTTTCCCAGCACTGCTGCGAAGATGAAAGCTCCTGGAGTCTAGTGTCCGCTAGTTTCCTTGTGCAAGGCGGAGCAGCTCCAAAGAAACACAGCCGGATGTGGTAGCCTGCACCCTCCTCACCATCC